TCTCCTTTGATACCTTTCCTTTTGAAGACAACGCTGAGTATTCACAGGATATCAGCACATCAATGAAGTAGTCCTTTCGTTCAGGTATTCAAACAGTTGTAGCAAATAGTAGCAAACAAACAGTAGCAAGCAGAAATCAAGCAGAGATCAAGCAGAGAGAGATTACGTTTCTCTTACTGCCTTTTATTGCCGTTTGTAACCGCACCCTTAATTAGTTAATTACAAGCAGTTTGGTGCTTAAAGCTACAAGTTACAAACACCCAAACCTTGGTTTATATATTTATTCACCCAAACTTAGTTGGTGTATCATTGTTATACCCAACAAATATATTTTACAAAGACTATGTTAATGATATCACTGTTGTTGTATGTACATTGAGAGGTTATGCATTAGAAACAAATTCCTTGTGTGTCTAATCACACTTGGCCAATAAAGAATTCTAAAGAAAAGAGGAGGTTTTGTGGAAAGTTATATATGTTTTCTGAGGTTTTTGCGGGTATTTGTATGTGGATCTTTGGTTATTCAGGTTTTCTCCCGCGTAAAATTGGAAGTATCTAGGCAACGTTTCGATGAAGTCTCACTCATCATCTTCAGGCTTGTGTCTTCGGCTTTGTGCTTCTTGGAGTAATGTGAGCTTGCAGCTGCTTCTTCCTTTTAACTGCTAGTGGGTGTGTGACTTGATTGGGTGGGGGCTTGGCTGTGTTCTGATTGGCTGGGGGTGTGTTCTGTTCAGGTGGAGGCTTGGTTGTGCTCAGGTTAGTCTTAGTTGCTGGGGGATTTGAACTGGTGAGCTGTGATCCTGCTGTTTGGCTTCGCATTCATGGTCATGCCGCATCTTCATGGTGGGCGTCAGTTCGCTTCATGTATGGGTCGGAGTGTTTTGAAGCGGTAGTGATGCAGCTGCGGTATGGCTTCTGGTCCGTGGTTGTGTCTCATCTTCTGTGTGGGTGTGAGTCTGCTTTCTACGTGGAAGTGTGATGGTAGCATCTTGTGTGTCCCTCGTGCATGTGGGTCTGGTGTCATTCTTCATGTTAGGTACTCGTTTGTTAATGAGGCTGGGTTTCCAAATGGCTGGTAGGCGGGAGATATCATCTTGTTTATTCATGCTGTGTGGGCGTTTTTCTATCTCTATGGCTTCTCTGATTATTCTGTTGTTGAAGTGCTCAGTTTTGGCGATAGTTGTGGTATTTTTAAAGTCAATCTCATGTCCTGTGGCTTTGAGGTGTTGGACCAGGGAAGAGGTCGGTTCTTCTTTTTTGATTGAGTTCTTGTGTTCTGCAATGCGTGCACTTATTCTTCTGTTAGTTTGTCCGATGTATGTGGTGGGACAGGCGGTGCAAGGGATTTCATATACTCCTTGGTTTTCTAACTCGATTTTGTCTTTAGGGTTTCTTAGGATGGTGGATATTTTTCTGTTTGTGCAGAATGCTGTTTTAATGTTGTGTTTTTGGAGGATCTTGCTGATTTTGTCTGTAGTGCCTTTTATATATGGGAGGAGGGCTTTGCCGTTCTCTTGTTCTCTGTCTTGGATTTTGGTTGGGGTTTCTTTTTGAATTAGGTGGGTAATCTTCTTTCTTTGGAATCCATTGGCTGTTAGTACATTAGTGAGAGCATGTAGTTCAGTTTTTAGGTGTTGTTTGTTGGCTAAGCATTTTGTTCTGGAGATGAGTGTCTCGGCTACGGAATTGATCTGTGCTGGGTGGTAGTGTGAGAGTGCGTGTAGTTAGCGGTTTGTATGTGTTTTCTTCTGATAGATGGTGTGTCCTAGGGAGCCATTGGATTTTTTGTATACTAAGACATCTAAGAAGGGAAGTTGATTGTTAGTGTCTGTTTCCATGGAAATATATATATATATATATATATATTTCCTAGAAGGCATTGACTGAATTATCTTAGTGTTTTTACCCAAGTCTTCCTCTGGAACTAAGTAGTGATATGATTTCAAATAAGAATTTCTACTGGGTATTTCTATTCCCTTCCTCCCTTCCCATTCCTTTTTTCTTGGACTGTGTATTATGTCTTTCAGATTGTAAGCCTCTGGGCAGGGACTGTCTCATTTTTGAAATTTGAAGGCTGCTGCAGAAAACTTGTCACAATTTGTGAACCAATAGAGACAAGAAAAGCCAAGAGTGAATTAACTTAGTCTGTTTTGCCAGCTTTTGAACCTCTTGTATAATTCCCCGATGATTCATAATCATTCAAATATTTATATTTAGAGCAAAGAATTTAAAATAAACTTTTAGGCCAAACACATCAAAGAGCTTTACAGTAGTCCACTTCCAAATTCCCCAGGAACACACTTGACTGTTTAAATTGGTAATATTATGATTCAACATATGATTTATATTTCAATTCTTTCTTACATGAATTTTAAAAGTAAGCCAACCTTAAACTAAAAAGCAAAGCCTGGCTTGCATCCATGCATTTTTTCTTAGCAGGTTTATAAAGGTATCTGACATAGTCTTTTTTTCTTTTTTCAGGAAAAGAGAAAAAAACATATACCCTTAATAGGCATTCCTAAATAACTAGCCAGCAATTTAACCATGATTTAAGAAATGTCAGATTAATACTTATAAAAAGTGGATCTGTGGAAAAAATAGATTGTACTATTTTGATGACCTGCTGTGACACTTTGCAACTATTTTCCTTAATTCTGCGGAGCACAAAGGAAGCTATTCTATCTGTTCTACAGGGAAGCATAATAATTGTATCCTTTTGAGGGACAGGCTTATTTAGACAATAAGAAATTGTCTAAAGTTAAGGTTCTATACACTGGCTGGGTGTGGCTTGTATGTAAATATTGTAAATATTTATGTAAATATTGATTTTTTTTAATAAAAGAGAGCAACTTTTACCCAAAATCATGCAAAGCAGACAGACAGATTGAGTTGCTTACAGAATCACAGATTCACTCAGAGATCTACCATTCTGCAATCTATTGCCTGAGTTTGCACTGAAAAATAGAAGCTTCAGTCCTAAGAAAGGTTCAGCTCTGCTTTTAGATAAGCTAGAAAGCAAGAAATCCAATGATTTCCTGCTTTCTAGCTAATATAAATCTCCCGGCACAGCAGAACAGCTGATGGTTGGGGGAAAAAAGAAAAAGAAAAATAGCAACTTACCAAAGGCAGGCAAGTTGGATGGCGCTTGCCAGGTAAGGAGTGAGTGGCTAGGGAGGGGTGGGGCCAGCCAGTGGAGTGATTTGCCGGTTCTCCGAACTGCACAGAATCATAACAATCAGTTCTATAGAACTGAACTGACCAGGTAGAATCCCATCCCTGTACTAAACCACAACATCCTTTGTGAATGACTGAATTTACTATAACTGCCAATAGGCAACTTCGTACTGCATAAGGTTCTCTAATGAGAACTTCTTCAGCAATCTGTCTTAGCAGAATTCTTAGATGAACGTGTACAATATTATGGCTCCGTACAATATCTAATGGATACTATCCTACAGACCACAGGACTGCATTCTCAAATGTGTTTAGGTAACAACCCTAGGTCAGCTTCAGAGACATTTAACTTACCCAAAGCTATCACAAACTCTTTTAAGACAAAACTTCGCACTTAGTTTTTAATAAAAAAATTTTATTGAGAAAGTAATCTTTGAGAGCAAATTTTAAATAGATTGAGTGGAATGGAATTTTGTATAGGTGAAGGACAACTGTGCTAATCTTTCTAACAAACATTGCAGTAGAATTTAGATTACAACTTATTCAACAACAATAACAAAAGAATTTTGAACTTATTGGATCCCTTGAATTCTCCATGCCTTATTTACTGCTGAAAGACTTGTTCTTCAATATTGGAAAGATAAATGTATGGCCCCAATTATTCAGTGAATTAAAGACTGATGTTTCTTGTAACTTATAATGAAATATGACCATCCTTTATTGACACATTATAGCAATAGCACTTAGACTTATATACCACTTTATAGTGCTTTACAACCCTCTCTAAACAGTTTACAGAGTCAGCATATTGACCTCAACAATTATGTCAAAGCTTATATAGACTAAGACATCCATATACATATGTAGTGTCTCATTCTCTGTATTTCTCTTTTTCCCCATTGTTTAATTAAATAAGGCTTTTTAAAAAAAGATAACAGTTCTAATTATTAAGTTATTATTAATTTTAATCATGGAATCCCATTAATATGACCATACCTATTCCTGTTGTTGCACTCAATTGAATTATTTCTCAGCTAATTTTAACTCACTTCTTTTTTAAACAGGTTGTTTAAAAAACCTAAAAGAGCTGAATGTAAGTTTTAACCATTTGAAGACTATCCCTCCAGAACTGGGAAACTGCGAGAATCTTGAAAAACTTGATTTGTCTGGAAATTTAGAACTAATGGACCTTCCATTTGAAGTAAGATTTTGAGCTCACTTTTGTTGTGTTGATCAATTGAAGAATGGAATGTTTAAAGATAATTTGATTCCCAATTAGCTAAAGCCATGTTAAGTATTACACCATGTATCCTATGGCTCAGTGGTGATTTAATTGCCTCATTTTTAGAAGTCATGTTAATAAAGAACCTCAGTGAATTAGATATGAATTTGTATACCTATGACAGATTCTGAATCTGTATGTGCTTGTGGACAGAAGACCAAATTATGCCAAAACATACTTTGTTTAAGGCTAATTGTGTGAATGGCTTTGTGCCATGAAAAACAAAATTATGCAGACAGCTGGAGCCATAGTATGCCATGAAGACTTGGTTGGTTAAAAGTATTTGGCTTGGTTCCAAGACTGCCATTTGCAGCAAAACATGGCTTGGCAAAAATTCAGGGCATTTCCAGACAACCAACATTCCTGTCATCTAAGACTCCTAACCTGACAAAGAAGAAGTTGGGATGGAGGAGATCAAATTATTTAGAGTTATTTATTTCATTTTAAGTCCAGAGTTCTTGCAGGGAGCTAGTGACCAACTTTTCACACTATAGAAGCACAGAAAGACTCAGCCAACTGTTGTCATCCCTTGGTCAGCAAATAGTATCTTAACCAGTCTGCTTGTGTTTGTGTGGGTGTTTTTTAAACATACTTTTCCTTACACTTTACAGAAAACAATAAAGAAGACAAGACTTTTAAATGCCTTTCACAATAGCAACCTAGCTAGTCTTCCCTCCTGCCCCATTACTTTTGTTGGTTATCTAGAATTGGGAACTGAATTACTCAGTCTGTTCATATGGATTCTCAAAGCAATCTGTTGTGCTTGCAGTGAGCGATGTGATTGTAGGGGAGATGCTTTCCTGGCTTCCAATGAAACTTCTCTATTGATACCTCCTTCTCTTGTTGCCTTGTCTGGAGGGTTGTTTTTCTGAGAGGGCTGCCACTTTTTAACAGGTTTTTTAATTGTTTCCCTGGGTCTTTGCTCTTTTTCTTCTTCCATATCCTGAGTATGGGACTTACCCAGGTCTGCTGTAAGCACGTTGGTGGTGGGATCTGTAGCCCGAGGTTGTGCTTGCATAAAGACAGTGATATCTTTTCTTAATGTCTCTACATCATGTTGAATGGTTATTAATTGTTCAAATATTGAGACAACCGTTTGTGCTGTGAGAAGGCATTGTTTTGCCATAAACTCTGTTGTATTCTCCCAGGGTAAGCTCTCATCACTTTGAGTTAGATTATTGTTAATCTTTTTAGTCTTTATCACAACCTCCATATCAACTGTAACTGGCTTAGTTATTTGTGAAGAAATCTGGCAGCCATTTTGCTCCTCCCCTACTAGATCGGGAAAGTCTAATATCTGCTGTTTTGTCAGGTCTCTTTACAGGTCCCATTCTAACTTCTCAAGATTGTTGGAAATGGAGGGGGGTTAGTTTTACTTACAGATCTCTTGCCAGCAAAGTGCTCCTCAATTCTTGGTTGTTTTGCAGTCTTCACTGGTGGAGAGATCCTGGGCTTGTGCCATCGTGCTTCTTTCTTTTCCCCATGCCTTGTTAGTCCTTGGAGCAAAACAAAAACTTTTGTCTGTGTTGTGGTCTATGCTGTTTTCTTCTCTGGAAAAAAATTATTTAAATAAAAAGGAACCAGTGGGAATACTAAAAATTGATAAAATAAAATAAAACCAAGAAGAGCTGCTGCAGCACACTCCGGCAGCTGGCTTCAAACTCCAGCCAAGGTCTGAATTACTCAGTCCTTTAAATATAAAGCTGCCAGTTCAAATATTGTGGATTTCATGAAATTCACAGAATATAGTCAAGGCCTGAAACCTGAGTTCACTGCATGTTGTGACTGTGTCATCAAGAAGCATTCGAACAGTGGACTTCTGGGTCGAGCCCTCCTTGATGACAGACCGTAGATCGCGACTGTCCGTGGCTATGGTCCATGCTCTTTCGTTGGAGAGCCCTGATCATTGCAATTGCGGCTGAAGCTGCGTTGGAGGGGCAGTGGACTAAGGGGAAGCTGCCAGCCAGGTTGAGGGGAGCCACATCTCCCCTACTGGGCTTGGTCTTTTCCCCCCCGAAGATGACTGAATGGTGGTCCAAAATGGCCACCCCAAAGAGGAGGATTCAGCTGGACTAAGATCTGTGCAGGAGTGAAGAAAAAGGTGGATAACATCTGAGCTGGGACAATTGGGCGAAACAAACAAACAAAAAGTACCCTGGATGAAAATACAAAGGGGCAGGAAAAAAACAAGAAAATAATTTTGACAGCTAAGCGGGGCTTTGAACTGGGAAAGGAAGAAGCCGGAATTAAAGACTTAATTAAATTGGATTAAAATATTTTGGCAATAAATAGGCATAAAATAAAGCTGGACTTAAGATGGTCAAATAATAATAATAAAATTTACAAATTGGAGACTGGATTGCTCTGGAATATTGAGGTTCAAAAAACCCTAAATAATAAAATAGGGGAAAAAGGTGAAGACTTTGTATAATGGAGAGTGCCATCTTCTGGATAAAAACTTAAACTCAGACAAACGAGAAATCATCCTGTTTCTCTATGAACTTGTGTCAATATAATGTTAAAGAAATATTGAAACAAAGTAAGAATCTTAGAAAGTGAAAGCTGAACCAGAACAAAGAAAGAAGCAAGGAAAGAGTGACTGCGGGATTGATTGATGTTTTTGGAATAGACCCTGGGTTGGAACAATTGAGAACTTTAGAAAACTTGAAGAAGAAAGAAGGAAAGTAGAAGTGTTTTTTGTGGACTTTAACGATTATAAAATATAAGCATGTGTAATGATGATATCTCTTTGGGGATTAAAAATGGAACTTAAAAATATGAGAGAATTACTATAGGAAGAGGCAAATCACTTTTAGAAGTGTTAGAAGAAATGGAAATGGCGATTGAAGAACAAAAAGAAAGAACTTCAGAGGAGGAGGAGGAGGAGGCTCAAGGAGAAGCCATCTTAAATAGACAATTAACACAAAGAACACTACAAAGATGAGCAGAAAGACGAGGAAGGCTAAAAAGTTGAGATTTAAGAATGTAATCAAAAAGGGGAATACCTGTGAAATCAGGAGAGGTAGAAAGATGCAGCAGAAAAGGGGAAAGGAAGATATCAAGAAAGAAAGGGATATAAACTGGAATGAGAAAAGATATGGGAAAAAGATGGGGAGGAGAGGCAGTAAGAAACAGGTGCAGGAAATAAAGAAACACAGAAATAGTAAAATGATGAAAAGAAATTGTTTTTTTCTTTTTAGAGATAATGGTTGATGAATTAAAAAGGGGACTCTGCAGGGTGACAAGGGATAACAAGAATATATTTGCAATTAAAAAATACTTAGAAAATAGGGTAATATAGATTATTAAAGGAGGGATAGATACTGATAACTTTTATTAGATGAATATACATTTTTATTTTTATCTTTAAAAGAAAAGTTAAGGTTTATTGAAGAAATTGTAATAATTGAAATGAATGTGAAGATGTTTAAAAATGAGGTCAATATCAGTAACCAGGAATTAAATAGTCAATTTTTCTCTTTTATCTTTTTGAAATTAGAAATAAAATTAAGGGGAAAAAATATATTCCGGAATCCAAATGAAAAGATGTAATGATTATTATTGTAACTACTTAGTAATAAAGGTTTATTGGGAATTAAGATGAGGGAATAAAGGTATATTTTAACCACTGAGGTGTCACACTCAAAACAGTAACAGGGGGTAACCTAAGTTTGTTTCCTTTTCTCTTGTGTTGAAACTTGTATTAATCTAGAATTTATAGAAAGAATGTATGATGAAAAGAAAATATGACAGATTAAAGAACTATTTAAATTAATAAACTAATACAGACTATTAAAAGGAAGGAGAGACATTGGTAACCTTTTTTTTATAAGGCAAACATATATTGTTATTTTTACTCTTAAAATAAAAATTAAAGGATTATATTTGAAATAATTGAAATGAAATGAAAGGATGTTTGGACTGAGATTAATGCAAGAGATTAGGATTAATTTGCTTGTTTCTCTCTTTTCTGAAAATTTGGAATGGAAAAGGTAATAATAGAATTAAATATGCATATATGAATGTATAATTATTATCATATTTGTATGTAAAAGTGATGATCTGAAAATATGTTGTTCACTAAAAAGAGTATTTTGTTTTTGTGTGAAAAATTGAATAAAAGAAGCATTCGAACAGCATAAATTCTGGGTGATTTCTGTTGGTTTAAATCTTAGTTTCTTGATGACACAGTCACAATATGCACTTCCAGATGGGGATGTATGTCCTTTCAGGACTGAGCTGATGACCACCATATATATCGTAGGGATCAACTCAGTCTTGAAAGGATATACATTCCGAGGGATGGGATTCAAATTTCTTAACAACTGGTTCTGTGGGTGTGACCTAATTTGTGGATGTGGCTTTGGTGGTCATGTGACTGGGCGGGCATGGCTTGCTGACTGGGCATGGCTTGGTGGTCATGTGACTGACTGGGCATGGCTTATATGTGAATATTATAAATATTTATGTAAATATTGAATTTTTTATTAAAAAAGAGCAACTTTTACCCAATATCAGGCAAAGCAGGCAGGCAGATTGAGTTGCTCACAGAATCACAGATTTACTTAGAGATCTATGATTCTGCAATCTGCTACCTTAGTCTGCACTGAAAAATAGAAGCTTCAGTCCTAAGGAAGGTTCAGCTCTGCTTTTACATTAGCTAGAAAGCAAGGAATCCAACAATTTCCTGCTTTCTAGGTAATCTAAATCTTCTGGCACAGCAGAACAGCTGATGGTTGGGGAAAAAAACGAAAAATAGGCAGGCAAGTTTGATGGCTTGCATGCCAGGTAAGGAGTGAGTGGGTGGGGTGGGGAGGGGAGGGCCAGCCAGTGGTGCGATTTGCCGGTTCTCCAAACTTGGCAGAATCATAACAACCGGTTCTATAGAACCGGACTGACCAGGTAGAATCCCACCCCTG